TATCTATCTATCTATCTATCTATCTATCTATCTATCTATCTATCTATCTATCTATCTATATCTGTCTGTCTGTTTGTCTGTCTATCTATCTATGTCTGTCTGTCTAAATGTCTATATCTGTCTGTCTGTCTCTCTGTCTGTCTGTCTATCTATCTATATCTGTCTGTCTGTCTGTCTGTCTATATCTTTCTGTCTGTCTGTCTATATCTGTCTGTCTGTCTGTCTGTCTGTCTATCTATTTAAAGTATCTATCCATCTATCTATCTATCTATCTATCTATCTATCTATCTATCTATCTATCTATCTATCTATCCATCTATCTATCCCATGTGCATTTGAATCGAGTTCAGTTACTTTCCACTATTTCCCAATAAAGTGAGAATGTTGAGCAAATGTTAATCTAGCAGCTATAATACGGTTTAACAGGCTTTGTGTCAAACACAGATTAAGCTCTTCATACAGAAACAGCTTTTCAAACAGCCTGCAGCTGATGCTGAATCGCAGCAGTAAGAGGCGTATTTTTATTCTGTGGGTGGACCGAATGAATCAGGTGGAGCACTTTTACTGCTGCTCGAGTCCATGACATGGGGAACATCCATCTAGTGCAGCAGAACATCTCAGAAGGGGTGTTGGAGAACCACAGAAGAGAAGAAAGCGGTACAGTTCAACAGGTGTGTTTGCATGTTTGTTGATCATTCACGAGTAATCGATATATTGAGATATATTGAACATGCTTGTGATGTGAGTTTCTGTCTTTTACAGATGGACGGTGACAGGGATTGTTTATTGTCTTCACATAAGGACATGGGGAAAAGTGGAACTAGTTCGATATCCTCCGCCTCATTTAATTTCATCAATTCCATTATAGGATCTGGAATCATAGGTAATGTTTTGTTATCGATGCTTCTAAAAAACAGTATCATTTTAAACTGAGTAAATACATACAGGCATGCAGACACACTGAACAAAATATATGTTCCTCTTAAACTTGTTGAAAAATGCATGCTTAAATTTTGTTACAAAATTATTATTATTATTATTTTTAATTGATTAGTTGTAGGGGATGTTGAGGGAAAAGCATCATCATGTGTGCATGTGAACTCCTTTAATACTGTAAGTGTTTCTCATAAAGTTGGTTAAGAGAATGTACAGTGATACTTTATTATCTAAAATATAGTGTACAGTGGATTTGTTTAATACTTTCCCACTTTTGTTTTGGTCAAAATAATGCTTGTACTTTTATTTGTGTTATTTCATAGTATATGTAGACTGTATACTTATATATAGTATGTATGACTGTACAAACTCTTGGCTGCCAGTGTATATTTTTTGATATTTTGGTTGATTGTCCTTTACTTTTTTTAAATCAAACAGGATAGCTTGCAATAGTCAGTGCCATATCTGTATAGAAAAGCAAATCTATTCTTCGAGTCGAAAGCATGCTTGATGATGTTTGGATGCTATTATGTTCATTAGTTTCTTATTAGTCACATTTGTGCGTATTTTACTAGGTCAGTAGATGTGAGAAGGGGCTTAGATTCCACGCGGTGCAGGATCATATGACTGTAGAATAGCCACAGTCAGTTCACATGCTTCTGCTGCAGGAAAAAAAGAACAAATATTTTTCTGGTCCTATGATATATCTTTGGGTCCAGAAAAGGTCAGCAATAAATATATAATGTATGCATTCTTGTCAGTAGCTATTTTTGTGCTCTATCACCTGCCTGATCAGAAGAAAAGATAGTTAGTCATCAGATATTTTTCTTGTAGGGGAGACTGGGGCTAGTTGTCACATTTTTGATCTATTTCACATCCTCCACATCTCTGATCTCTTGGTTTCATTCATCAAGGTTTGCCGTATTCCTTGAGTCAGGCTGGCCTCCCAATGGGTCTCCTGCTGCTTATTCTGGTTGCCTTCATCACAGGTATGCACTGCAAATGTGCATGAGCCATTTACTGCATTTAGATCAAAGTAATGTGTTAAAACACTTGCATGCATTGGTTACAAAGGAAGCCTAAACAAGAATAAAGTTTAGGCAAAAATTTGTATTAAAATGAAAATGCATAGAAAAATGTAACTTTGTGAT